AAAACAAAAAATAAATAAAGTGGCCCATTCCTTGCGAAGTTGGGTCCTCGCCTCTTCGATACTTCGACGGAAATCCGGATTCCTTGGCAGTGTGAAATTTACCAATGTGTTTCGCAAAGATGGCAAGTGCGTTTTATGTTCCCCATTCAAATAAACCATGAGCGTCCCACCCCCAATGCCGATAGGCCGTCCACATGGCAAATTGCATGGAAATTCTTTGCTGGCCAAAAATAAAAGGAAAATAGTGTTGGTCCCTTCTGGGGCATGAACTCTTTAACATTCCTGGCGCTTGTCTACCATTCGCCCTAAGAGAAGGACGGGCATGTTGTAGATAGCATACTTTTTCCAACCTTAAAAAGATACCTTTTTTTAAAACTATATTCTGGCAGCAAGCTGTGTGATATAGAATATTATAAACGAGTAAAATCAATACCGTGCGATCATAAGTCTAGTCCATTCCCCGTCACAAGTTTTTTAAAAAAATCCATCTCAGAAACCATGACTTCACGGGCCACTGCAGCTGGAGGTGCGCCCGTGCGTCTTGGCCGGCGCCACGCGGCGTCCCCTTAGACATACAAACCGAGAAAGGAGAGAAAATGACCGGGGTCACAACTACGCCGCTTAGGGTTTCACAAGACCCCGAGCCGCACCAATGAGCCGGCACACGTTATTTGCCATCAGGTGCGTTTTTGCTTATTTGGAAAGAAGGTAGAAAAAGAGTTTTTTTTTTACTTACAACCAAATTGATGAGCGAAAGAATTGTTGCTCCACCCCCTTCGCGACCCGCAGGCATAGCTTGGGCGTCAGGGGGACCAAATAGCAAAGTAAAGATGAACAAATTTTTTTTGGGAACGGCGAGGGCATATGTAATGATAAGATTCTGCAAAATCGCAGCAAAAAAACAAAACTACAGCCTGCGATGGAAAACATCCTCTTTTTATAATAATTCTTCAGCTAATATCAACCGGCACTGTGTAGTATACGGGGAAGTTGCTTAACATGCTTGCCTCAGGGCGGGCGCTGCAGAAATGTTTTGAGGCGGTTTGCAGCAAAGAACGGCGGCTGACCTTATATAGTCAGCTTAGCCTACGGGCAAAAAGTGGATTACACATAACCGGTGCAACGCCACAAATCGAGCGGGATTGAATGACTTTGGGATTAGCGCGGGCAACCGCCAGCCGATGGAGCTCAAAAAGTGCTTTTTGGAGAATGTCTTTAGTTGTAATGCACAACATCCATTTTTCTCCTTTATATTCTAAAGTGAGTGGTCATCGCACGATGTTTCACTACCCGTTAAAAAAGGTCAGGGCTTCTTGTTTCAGGTGGTTTTTATTCCGTCTGACTGAAAACATCTCCGCGCCAAAGGATTACAATACCAAACGTTCTCTTTTTCATGCGATGCAACATGAGTAGAACACCTCTTCTACGTAATGTTATACCCTTAGAAATGATTTTTGTAGCTTTCCCTTCGGTTCCAGGTGCCTTCAATGGCAACGCGGCCCATTTCTGCACCAACTCCACATCGACAATGTTGTCTGCTTCGTTTTGTTGTTTGCCCCAGCTTTGTAAAAAAAGGTAAAGGACAGTCCTTCGATGGAATTTCAGCCGTTCCACGTGTTTTTTTTTCACTCTGCCAGGATATGGGGATAAAGATTGTGTTTCAAGAAAAGCTACTGCTACGTCGGCCAGGGTGCCTCGTTTCAGAGAGTTCACGGCCATGCCGTCTGGGGAAGGAATCGTTTTCATCGCCGTGTTCTGGTAGTGAATAGAATTTGTGGTCGTTGAACGTGCCCCCTGTAGCTGTGCGCTCCTTTTCTGCGACTTTCCCTTTAATTATGGCTTGTCCTGCTCCTCTTTGAGGGTTATTGCTGAATATGCTTCAGAAATGTTTCACAATCTGCATTTGTCAGAGGCGTGCAGTGTAAGTGTATAACAAAAACTGTTTTTTTTGTGAGCCTGCGATAGGAATGGTCAAGCCTTACCCTACTTGCTGAGAGTGGGTCCTATAACTTAAAATAATACGTGTCTTCTTATCTTGCGTAAGGAAAGTGTCGCAAAGCGTAAGTTT